CTCCATGGAGCTGGACCCATGCTCAGAAGGGGCCCCAGCCTGCTCCACTTGCACTGCATCACTAGACCCTGCCAGCCCTCTGGCTCCCCACTGCCCATCACTTGCTCTTCAGGCTGAGGGCTCCTCTCTGCTCCCTGACTCCACCCTCCTGCTCCTCTCTGCCCCCTGGCTGGACGCCAGTGCACCTCCAGCTGCGGGCAGTCTCTGCTTCCCACCATCTGTGCAGCCCTGCCTGTCTCCCTGGAGCTGAGCTGCCTCGGACTGGTGCAGAAGCCTGGCCAGTCTCAGCCAGGTGGAGGGGGATGACAATGTGGGGGGCTTGGCTGGGTCCCTCCAGGCAAGTGAGTCCTGAGGGAGCCCGGACGGGGCAGGCCCTGACCTGGCTGATCATGCCACTCCCGAGGGCCCAGAGTGATTCCCGGCCCTGGGACCAGCTCTGGCTGTGCTGCTGGCCCAACCCAGCAGACCGTCACCTACCAGCAGGGCCGGTGAGTGCGTCTGGGAGGCAGGGTGTGGGGAGTGGGTCTCTGAGGGGTGCTGGGCTGTGAGGTGGCGGGGAAGATCAGTGTGTGTTGGGGCACTAGGGAATGGAGATCTATGGGGGGTACTGGGCAGTTGTGGTGGGCAGGGCCGTCCTTAGGCATATGCAGCATGGACTGCTGCGTAGGGCACCCAAAAGTTTGAGGCACCACCGGGACAGCAAATAAGAGCAGTTCGGCTCCCTCACACCCAGTGTACACTGCAGTCTCCTTAGGCAAGGGCTATATTCACAGAGCTGAATGCTCCGACACAGCACATTCTGCATGAGGGAGAGGGTATGGAGGTCTCTGCGGGGTACTGTGACTCTCCGCCGCCGTAAGGGGGGCCGGGCGGCTCGGTATCCTTTGGTGCCTTGTCCCTCCCCCTCTGGGCTGCGAGCCCAGGCTGCCGCAGTGTCTGCTGTATATGAAGTTCAGTGTGTCAACATTGGGTGGGGGTTCTTCTGGGGGTCTGCGGGCAGGGGGGGTGGCTGTGTCCCAAGTCGGGCATAGGGGCATCAGTTTAATAATACTGCATAGAGCCCCATAAATCCTAAGGATGGCCCTGGTGGTGGGGCTGTGAGCAGTGGGGTGCTGGGCAAGGGTGGTGTTGTGCGTGGTGCTGTGCGTTTGTGGGAGGGTTGGGGAAGGTGCTGGGCATAGCGGGTCCGGGAGGGGGCTCTGGCCATAAGAAATGCAGCTTATAGGAAACTCCGGGGGGTTGTTCCAGTGTTGGCCAGGGGTGCTGTGTGGCATGTCATGGGCCTACCCCCGAGGGGATGGGGAATGCTGGCAGCACAGGGCCAAGTGGGCCACTGTGCGTCTGGCAACTGCTGGTTTGTAAATAGTGCCCTTGCCATGCCAGGCCATGCCCATTGCCTCTGGCTGGCACCTCGCTCTGGGGACTCATATCCCCGTGCCATGCTCCATTGCCTCCATGGGGGCCCACAAATATGTTTGGCGCCAGGCCCACAAAAGGTTAATCCGGCCCTGCTGGCAGGGGTCCAGCCAAGTGCAGCATGCAGTTCATTGTGAAAGCAGCACATCTGTAGGGTAGCACCAGGTCTAGTGTTGGCCTCCCTAGTCTTGTACTCCTGCTGCAGTTCTTTTGCTTTCACGTGGCACTGCTGCCGATCCCAGTTGTACTCCTTTGCCTGCATCCCTTGTGCAATCTGGTGGTATATGGCCCTGTTACTACAGCTGGTCCATAGCTGATAGCTGTGCTGGCAGAGCCTCTTCTCCCCACAAGCCCAGGAGAGCCAATACTTCCTGTCTACTCCTGGCAGGAGCATGACTAGTGTGGGGCGCCACCATGGTCAGTTGGGCAGTTGCACACAACAAGGGTGAACTGCTAGATATGAGCAAGGTGGGCAAATAGGAAAAGGCATTTCAAAAATACATGGGGAGGCTTGGAGTTGGGGGGGGGGGAAGAGTTCTGGTCTCTGTGACCCCTGGGCAGTGAAGTGTAAAATTGTGACATAGTAGTTACTGTTGCAGGGAATGGGGCATTGTGTGACAACTGCTATAGGACTGTTAGGATTGATAGAGGTCACATACTGTCAACAGTTGCACTGCATCGACTTCAGTAAGTCGACCATGGCTCCACACCATTTCAGGGAGGTGGTTTTACTGCCTTGTGTCAACTTATTTGCATATGTGTCTACAATGAAATTTGTCTCTAGCTGACATAGTGGCCCCTTACAGACCCTGAGACTGGGGGGTGTACTGCCAGGGGGCAGCACCCAGAGAAAGGGGTACCAAGGTCCTGGGAGGGACATGGGGCCAGAGGACAGGTGGATCACCAACCTGTAGGGGGCGCTCCAGGATGCTGGAAGAGCTAATTTCTGGAAGTCACTAGCAGGAGGCACTGCAGGGGTGAGCCCGCTCCTCTACACCATACAAGAATCACACTCCTAACTGACATAGGTATGCCAACAACTTTTAAATGTAGATCAGGCCTTATTAGGCCATGTCAAGACTAGGATCACTTTTTGTTATAGGTATACAGGCAAAGTGCTTCTAGTGTGGAAATAGTTATACCAGCAAAGCTAACCAATACAGCTTATTTCACCATCACCCTAAGCAAAACAAGTTAAACTGGCGACAGCATAGTTTTGCTACAATAACTGCATCTACTCTAGAAGGTTTTGCTGGCATTGCTATGTTGGCCACAAGTCACACCACTTCACACCCCTAACCAAAATAACTATGCTGGCAAAAGCCCCTGGTGTAGATGTGGACTCATTCCGCAATAAGTGTGTCCACAAATGGAGTTATTCAGGAACAGCTGTTCCATGTGCAGACAAACCCAAGGTGTAGAAAAAGTAGGTGTCCTAAAGGTAAGCATATTTTCCCAGTGAGTGATGCTGAATACAAAAGCATTAGTCCACGGAAAATTAATAAATTATAACTGCAATTCTAGTTACTTTTCCAGCTGACAGTTCCACTTTCCAAATGGGAGTTCTATGCTGAAGTGAAGGTAGTATGCAGTCCTGCATACCCCAGTCCATGAGTTATTAGTAAATATTTATATTATGGAAGTGTCCAACAGCCACAAATCATATTTCTGACAGCTTTTGATAGCAATTAAATATGAACATGGGCAGTGGGTGAACGCGCCCTTAGAGGAGGCTAGCCCTGGCCTCTGTCTGAGGCCCTGCCCCTTCTTCTCCTCCTCTCCC